CATATGCATGAATTTCCGAGTCCTTTTTAGTTTTATCAAAACGTTTTTGGATAATTTGTGTTGAAGGGAATTTTTCATGTTTTTCCCTTTTGACACTTAACGCAGTTTTAAATAAGTTTTCTTACAAATCGAATTTTAACGAAACGTTTATAATTTTTAAATAAACCAAACAACAAGTACGAAATAATAAAGATTGTCATTTTACTGTTCCATTTTTTCCTCGTACTTTTTTGGAATATACGATTCTTAATCATTTGCAGATTTTGTGGCTCTGCGCTGTTAATATATACAACACTTTCGTTACAAATACCATGATTTATATTTTCCCCTTCGTTTCGAAATTTTTTTTATAGGGATCAAATGTCATGTTTGTATATTAACAAATATGAATTCTATTCATGCGTTAATTGTTGCTTTTTATTAAACCAATGATATCAGATAATTCTCTCCTCTATATATATATATATATATATATATAGGATATATATATATATATATATATAAATAATTTAAACCCCAAATTTTAAAAGACAAAATGATAAAATATATAGAATTATTAATAAATAAATTCAATAAATTTTATTAAATAAATACGTGGTTAGCCATTTTGTTTTAAAAATTCTGCTGTCTTATTTTCCTACTTTCGAAATAAATTCCGATTTTTTCAAAACAATGAAATTTTATTTTACACCCCTGGGTTAAATTAGTACATAAGCTGGAAATCGACTAAAAAAACATATCTTGATGAAAAGACAAACTTGACAAAACTAAATTTTATATTCTAAATTTAATGTTTTTATGAAGAGGTTAAAGAAAATAAAATTTTTTTTAACTAATAAATTTTAAAAATTTTCGATACAATTAAAAATTCTAAATTTTGAATTTAAATTTAATCTTTTTTTTCTAAATAAAATTACTAAACAAAAAAACAATTTTTAGTCTATTTTTTTTGGTTTTATTAAATTAATTTGAAAAAACGAAAAATAAAAATGTTATCGGATGTTAATGAAACTTTAAAAAACTATTCACAGATGATCTAATATTATTATAAATATGTTTTTTTATCAAATTAAAATACACAATACGCAAAAAATATTTATATATATATATATATATAATTTTATAAAACGCTAAATATTCACGCGATCGCATCGGTTTTAAAAAAAAAACATTATATAAATGAAAAGTACACAGGGACCTGAGGAATGCAAATAATATTTTTTTATTTTTAATTGGATAAAGACATTCCAATAAATCAACTTTATTCAACTTTGAAAGTGTTAAAACAAATATATTATTTAATTTTAAAAAACTCTTTTATTTTTTTATGAATTTGGGCAAACATTTTCCCAAAAATTAAAAAAAAGGACGATGAAAATAATTTTAAAAAAATTATATTTTGTTATAACATTAATATATAAAAGATTTTAAACATTTAAATATTATTAAAATATTATAAAATTAGTTAAAAGCTAGTTCATCGGCTTTCAAAAATATAACAGTAAGTGAAATTAAACATACAGACATTTTTTTAGCAACTAAACAAAATCAATTTTGACTAATCAGAAATCATACCCAGTAATTAATAAATATATATTGGTAACATAATCGATATATATATATAAACACGGAAGACCATACTATATATAATTAAGCACATGGTCATTTGAGTTATGTCATTGTTCTCCAGCTGTTAAATATATTAACTTTCAACAAACACATGTGGAGACATTAATTTGATTTTCAATTTCAATTGAGAAAATTATTATCTTATTTGAAAGTATCAGTATCATCTTATTAAAATTAACATCTTATTTTTGATTATTAATCTCAGTTACCACATTTTCCAAAAATGAAATATCAAAATTAAAAATAAAATGAATGCAAATATTGATAACATATGAATGTAATATATGACATATACAATTATAGTATTTTATGTATATATATAAAAATTCATAAAGAAACCCATCTATAAATTAATTAGATGCCTTTCTTAAATAAGAAATGAAAAAAATATATATAGAACATTTTAAGTTTTTTTCTTTTACAATATAAACCCATAAAGCATCATAAACGTAAAAACACAAAAGTTACAAAAAAAAAAAAAAACAAACCGCTGAAATATATATATATTTCGTTAAAATAAACATACAACAAACTATAATTGTTCACGTATATTTTATACCAATGTACATTATTTCATTTTTTTTCAACCATACGTAGAACAAATTATATTCATATATATATCATTCATCACATGTCACACACACACATATATATATATATATATATATATATATTCATATCCATACATATATATATAAAAACATATAAAATACATATTTGGTTCAAAATATTCTAAACATAAACATTACATAATTTCTGATTTTCTTAAAATAAGTTTTGAAAAATATTATATATATATATTTATATATATTTATTTAAAGTCAGATTTCCAGTTTTTTTTTTCTTTTTTTCTTTCCCAATTTCCTTTCTTTTTCGCCTTTCTTTTTTTTAACGAAAATTTTTAACGCAAAATGTTATATAAAAACGATAAAATATATAGTTATTAATAAATAATTCAATCTTTATTAACGATAAATACGTGGTTGAATTTAACGTATGTCAAAATGAAAGTTGTTTTCCCTACTTTGAAATCATTTTCCGATTTTTTAAAAACTATGCGTTTTTATTTTATGGGATTAATTAGTAATTACGTAAAATTAGTGTAATGGAAAAACATTTTTAGTATTGTTGACGAGCGATGTGTCCACACAATGACATATACAAATGCTAGTTTAAAAGCTAAATAAACAAGAACAGCTTAACTTTCTGGCCATCTTTAAAACCTTATGATGCTTTGCATCCTCTAGAATATTTTTATTGTTTTGTCAATTTTCCTATTAATTCTTTAGGATTTCCAAATATTTCCATAAAAAGGTAGCACGTAAATATAGAAGAAAACATATGGATCAGATTCATACTTTCTTTCTTTTGAGAATCAAATTTGAATCAGATTTTCATCCAATTTTCAGTTTCATTCTGCCTTTCATTCCGATATTCCAAAGACAAATTGCATGCAATGCTGTATAAATCTTTATTTTTTTCTTCTGCATGCTACTTAATACTATTTAATATGAAGAGACAATTCTTTTTCTAAATGATTTTATTTATTTCATTTTTCTTGATTTCACAATCAGAAATATTTAAGTAAAAGGAAATTGTCACGCTTTCATATATTTATAAGCTTTTAAATAATGCTTCCTGATTTGAACAAAATATGCAGAAGTTGTATAACAAGAACTAAACGAAAAAGAAGAAACGTACCCATCGGCATGCGCATGAAATATATGTATTAAATATATATTTAATATTCGTGGCAGATTTCATTTGTAAATTCTGTTAATAATTCACAAAGACAAAAGTTAAAACTCTGGATTTGGGGGCCTTTAAAATTATTCATAATTTTGTTTGTGTTTTGTTCAATAACGCATGTAATTCAAAATGAAACACTTTTTAATAAGATTTGTACTATAATTTATTGAAAGCTGTACTGTAGTAGATGGAAATTATTTGAAATTGTCGGTCGCTTCCAAGACAATGCAAAGTATTCGTCTTCATTATCAATACTCATATAGATTTAATAATAATATCACGAATTGATTTTAAGTTAATTTATTAAAAAGCAAAACAAATTATGCAAATAATGATCATGTTAAATAAAGCGCAATAATTGAGCACATATGTGTTTTAAACAAAACTAGGCAATTAGATTTCAAATTACCATGCATATATTTTGACAAAATAATAATCGACGAAATTAATAATCCTTAATTTTCGCACAATAACTTTTCTAGTTATATTCCAGCACTTTATATTATGAAGAAATTCATCGGCAAAAGGTGTGAAGTTTTGAAATATCTAACGTTATAATTAACTTCGTTTCCTCGAGTTTGAATAACAAATTATTTATTACGGATGAAGTCTCCTGAAGTTCATCGATGTGACTTTGCGAAACTGAACGTTGCGTATTATTTTCTGTAAATGTTTGTGATGATGATAATAGGATAATCAACATCACCGTTATTAATTCGATATTTCGTTGATCAACAGCATTTTGTTTGATAGAAACAACAATTTTTTTCTCTGTTTTGGATTTGGGTAAATGTCTATATTTTTAGACATTATGCTGTATCTTCTATTTGTTATCATTATTATTATTATTATTATTATTATTATTATTATTATTATTATTATTATTATTATCGATGTTATTAACGATTTAGTTACGAATAATACGACTATTTTTCTCACGATTAAGATTTTTCCTAGAAGCCAATATAAAGAGCATCCATTTTATACAAAGAATAGTCAATACTATTAACTCATAATAATGATTTGTCTTATTTTGGACAATACAAAGATGTTAATACTTTAAATAAATTATTGAATTATTTAACGGCAGAATTCTCAAATTCCTTCATTGTACAGTTTATATTCTTATAATTTCATGCAGCAATTGCATTCAATTTTTTATAATTTTTGAAATTTTTATAAAATTTACTCCTATTTTTCAGAGGAGAGAGAGGGTGAGAGAGAGAAAGATGATTCTTTCTTTTCAAATATTTTCTTTACAAATCTTAATTTACATAATTTTCAATATAATAACTTCGCTAATATATCCTTTATATATATATATATATATATATATATATATATATATATATATATATATATATATATATATATATATATATATTTTCAACATTTAATTAAATATTTGTATTTATAAAAATAATGTATAAACATAAAAATATATTTTAAATAATTGTCGGACTATTCCATTTATATATATATATATATATATATATATATATATATATATATATATATATGTGTATATATATATGATTTATAATAAATCATATATATATATATATATATATATATATACATATGCATTCAATTTTTTAACTATATTTCTTCATATATGATTATCATTGTTGTGTTAATAAAAGCATAAAGAATAAGACGGTTGCTAAGCCACGGATCTGATTGGCGCTAGAAGATTTCACAATTAATCGACCTTCATTTCGTGACGATACAACCATTTCGCGCCATCGTTTCTCGACTTCAGTACAGTCATTGTTACTAATGAGACTAAGTCGAGCTAATGGTTTTTCTAATCGCTTGATTACCGCTTCGGCGTGTACTCGATTACACATCGATGCAGGCAGCATAATCAATTCTTTGTTATCGATGATCATCCAACATAGATACTCATCGATACGATCCTTTGTTTGAGTGACGATTGTATCGTACTCATCTATGAACTTCATTGAAGCCAGGCAGAAATATTGGGCGTGGGTTTTGTGTCTGCCGCCATCATCCTTCAACATCAGGACCATCTCGTGCGGGATGAAGTGGATGTCGTGTAGCAGGCATCCCTGTCGGGACGTATCGTCTCGAAAAGCTAGCGATGTGCCCAGGCCTGCTGGCAAGTTACAGGAGACAGTCGACTTGTCATAGTCCCGGACAAGATTCTGCAGTGGAATGATGCCTTGGGATGATGACACCCTAAAATTAGAGTCGTGTTGTACGAAGCGGTTGTCATTACAGACCTGTTCCTGTAATCCGTATGTGATATTCACCGGCCACAGAACAATGTCTCCAACTCTGTAGCGCATCACAGATGGTGATGTCTCCTGAAGTTCAATACACATAAACCGTGGATAGCATCCGTTGTCGAATTTCTTCATGAGCACGCGTCGACGGGAGTAGTTTCCCTCGCCCGCATCGATACAGTGCCAATCCGGTTCACCATTAATGTTCACCGTGTTGTTACGGATAACGATCTTGCTGGTGCCGCTGCGGACGTGTCGCACCCAGATGCCGTGCATGACCTTAGGGAAGCTGCAGGCCCGCAGACCGTGAATGCTGCCGTATCGGTTGACTTTGCATTCGCCGCACGACCGAAGACAATGCGACTTTAACTTTGTTTTGCACTGCTGCGGGTTGCGACACCCATCGAACTCATCGCTGCATATGCTTCGCACCACATGACGACGCATCTTGAATATTATGTATTTTCGCTCTTTGGGGAATATGGTCTTGGTGTCGCAAATTTTGTCCAGGAAGAAATAGATCTTCTTAATCATTTCGTTTTCATCATACTCCACCCGCATACACCAATACTGGAGGTTATCACTGTTGCGAACGATGACATAGTCATTACCCTCTACTTTCCATTTGGCCGCACAACGTAAGCGGTTTTCGTCTCTTAGGTTCCAAGCTGATTGCCGGCAGCCATTGTTGCGAAGACGGATGAGAAGGCCCTCTTCTTGAACGCAAGAGCTTTCAAAGCGCAACGGTAAGATGGTACTGGTGCAAACCTTTTCGCCGCTTGGTAACGTGATATCGAAATCATAACCACCATCAAACGGACATGCCACTTCGGTTTCGCTGAATAGGTGGACGGATATTAATGGCCAATCATCCATCATCATACGGGTATCGTTGCAAACATTTTCACTGGAGGAGCTCAGTGTAGACATATAAATCTGCATCACTGCAGCACTACGTTTTATGAACTTCATGCAAATGTATTTCATGTCGGGGTCACTATTTTCAATCTGCAATGAAAACGTTATATTCATATTAAAGAGAAATGTAAAGAACAACAGTAGTTTACTATAAAAAAGAGATAAAAAATAACAACTTCTGATACTATAGAGGAATGATTTATAAATTAATGATTGAAGAAAGATGATGAGATTTGAACTGAGATAAAAGCAATTATAAAATCATTATTTGTAAGAAAAATAATTATTATTAGAAAATAATATTAACATTCGTATAAAGAAATATTCGGCATTCATACACCGAGCAGCCTGTGCTACTTTTAGTTGAAATTTACAAAAAGTCTCTATTATGAAATCTTTTCATGAAAATAGGTTTTCTAAAGTCTAGTAAATATGGTCTTCAATTACTGATGGGACAGTACTTCGGAAATTTTTAAAACGTTCTATGACATGCCAACATTTGGATTATGTCCTTATCCAGTTAAGTTGTTGCTGCTGTTGAAATTGTGGTGTATTTGTGCGTGGTTTCTGTTATTTGCTAGAATTTTTTTCTGTTATGTTTCTTTTCTTCGAATCAAAGCCAAAAGAATTTTACAGTAATGGAATTAGTAAGCTTTAATAGAATAATCAGGAAAATACATTGTTGATTGTACCAGTTTGCAAGGTTCGAATAAAGATTGTCCTTGCTAAGACCTATAATGTTCATTCGTTCAAAGCCATTTCCAACCACTGATTTGAGAAAGCTGTTGCTGACAGTTCAGATATTTGTGAATGATTTTTGGCGCCCTGTATGGCATCAATATCAAGGCTTACCTTTGAGGAAGTTATTTACGAACATTACTCTAGTTTCAAGTTAATGTTTCGGTTTTGTAATAATTTATTATTTGGAAAATGATGGGCAGATATAAAGTAAAATCAAAGGAATTGTGATGTACTTAAATATTTTTTTTTAAATTGATAATCACATAGATGTGTATATTAGTGTTTGGCCAAATATTTTTCGTAAAATATTCATGTGTAATGTAAAAATCCTCCCAAATCCGAGTAAGCTTGTTTTTAATTGTTCTGTATTGCATGAAGCTTCAAGACCAGTAGAAAATATTACTTTCAAAGAAGATAAAACCTTTTCTGTTGGGCTTAACAAAAGGTGACAAGAATCTGACACTACATTACGTATAATTGCAATTAGTACGGCTCATGAGTAGTGCAATTTCAGATTGCTCATTATTATAATTTTCTCGTTACTTTCGAGTTTGGGAATAAGTATCGACATTAAATATTACAAATAAGGTGGCATTATATGTACGAACAAGAAAGTGATATGTTATAATTACTCTTAAGGAAATGGCATCTAAAATGCTGCATTTTAATTTTCTTTTCGATGAGACGGTTTTGTGTGATTTTCAGTTAGACAATATGTATTCAAAATGGCGTTTCATGCGTAAATTAAGCAATGTTTCGTCAATGAAAACAAAACTGGTCAAATACGAATTCATAATGGATAACAAATATTATCTTGTATTAAGATGAAAATCAGATTATATGCCTTCGGGAAGTCGAACTAGAATTTTTCGTTTGAAAATCATTATTATTATTATTATTATTATTATTATTATTATTATTATTAATAATAATAATAACCTTGAGACTTTCGGTTGACTGTTTCGGATAAGTTCTTTTATCGGTTGAAAAAATGAATTTTTGAATCAAACTAGTATCAACATTCAACATGTTTTCGATCAATTATTTGAGTTTGCGATCACTTTATTATTGCTAGACTTATTTTATGCAAAATCATCTTTGTATGAATTGGGTGATATTTTTTAAAGACTTTTGCGGTTATAGTGGTCTATGAAGTATTCCTTATCTCATAAAATTCCTTTTCAATCATCCTCATTACTGTAGATATATTTTCTTTACTAAGGTTTTATCTTACTCTTTCGCATGCTTTTGATTTATCGTCAAGCATTGAATTGATAACCTGTAAAAGCTACGCTTAATTTATAGTTTCAATATTTGAAATACACATATTTATACTAGTGAATAATTGTTTAATTATTTTGAATAAAAGTATATTTGTATTGAATAGAACTGTCTTGCTTAGTGTTAAACTTTGTAACATATCAGTGTTAAATTTGATTCATGAAAAAGTAGACTTTTATAACCCACCATCTCTTCTAAGATAATACTAAGAAAATAATATAAGAAAAATACTGGTTAACAATCTTAAACGTTTTAATGCTATTTTATACTTGTCTTAACAACATAATATTATATAAAATACATTATATTGATATTCATGAGTATTCACTATTTTCTGCCATATAGGTGCTTTTATATCAAATTTATTTTATTTTAAAATATCACATTTATTTCCTATGCAAAATCAATATATATTTTATTTTAACATATTTCCTATATACAAATTTGATGTGTGTTTTCATATATGTATATATATATATATATAACTTTATAAGTATATATATATATAAAAAATCAGTTTTCTTTTTCAAAGCAAATTTGTATCAACATATTTCTTACTTTTTATAACATTGTAAGTTAACTTAAATAAATACAGAACATATTCATTTATATATATATATTCTATATAAATAAATTTTTCTCAACTTTATTCTAGTCGTGGCATCTTTTAATCAATGCGAAATGTTCTTTATGGCCCTTCATGGAAACTTGAATTTTTATCCATCTTTTAAATCTTTCAAATTGCCCCATCTCTCAACTTAATTATCTAGGGAAATAGGAATATTTAAGATTCTAGTTTGGATAGTACTATATCAGAACTTAACTCCATTGGTAAATCAAAAAAATCATTATTTGGATAAATATTTTATTTGAATATATCCATTTATTAACAAAAAAAAAAGAAAAAACATACATGTATCGTTTCTATCTTGTATGATTTCAATGGGATCATTGTGAATAGTACAGGGCTGACAAATTGTCAATGTTTGTCTTGAAATCCGTCATAGAGAGATAAGTAAACGCCTTTTTTCTCTTTTTTTTCTACGTCAAAGCGATTTCGAGTCTTTTAACAGCAGCTGCATCATCCAGTAAAACCAGTTTCAACCAAGTAAGGTTGTTGGAAAAGTGAATAAGAGCAACTTTCATCTTTCCAGAGTATTAGATACTTCTTATGAATGTCTTCATTCATCCACAGCTTCCGGTATCCTCCACACTTGAAACTCGTTTGAGCTGCATCAACTGTTTTATTTTGAATTTCAATGAAACTTTTTGTAGGGTTATATCAACTTCAGATGCATCAGCAATGAAGGGATCCAAAAACTAGTGCGACATTGTCATTTGGAGTAGATCAGAGAAACAAGTTTCATATCATTATGCAACTGCTAAAAATGATCAACATACTGCTAGATCATCGTCAAGTAGCTGGGTGGATATATTTTTGAGTTTTTGCAATCTCCCGTCTCCCAAGGTTCAACGAAGATAGCTTTAGTTTCCCTTTAAATGCGTTAATTGCCTCCTTGCAGGAAAACAGTGGAGTAATTTCCTTGGAGTTCTTTATTCAGGACATTTTTTATAATTGAAAGACAAGGTGATGAAAACATACCTTAATTTAATCTTTAAATTATGAGTTTTAAATTTTAAGAAATTGAAAACTAAAACGACCATATTGTATAGATCAGTTGAAAAAATTACAATAAATAAATATTTAAATGTTTATGTTAGCGACATGGCCTAGATTAATTTAATATTTAACTTAATAATAAATTTAATATTTTACTTTAAATAATAATTATTAATGCTCCATATATATATATATATATATATATATATATATATATATATATATATATATATATATATCCTATATTTTCTAATACTTCGTGGGTTCCCATTTTCAAACTTGGTCTTATGGCACCTGAAAATATTTGAAGGCACACAATACATGCATTCGGAGACATATGAAAGGTCCTGAAAATATTTTTCTTGATAAATGGCTAATATAATCCCGCAAACAACAACAACAAGAAGAATATCGTCAAATATACTATAGTACTAGTTTAATCTCAATTAACCTTAAGATCTGTTTTTTTTGATACATGTTTAGAATGTTTTGTTCTTTTGAAAAATATTAAAACCGTGAATACATAATAAAAAACTTTTTATTTAAACACAGAATTATATATGTGTAAAAAATGTAACATAAAAAAAATATATATATATATTCGACGTGTGAATCAAATATAATAAATTGATTGTAAATGGATAACTGAAATAGAATATAATCAACGCCAGATGTAAAATTTAGAAATACCACAATACAAAACGTTAACCTTAAAAAAAATTATTTTTTGAAAAATTAAATATCCATTTTATAAATTCTCGTGAAGAACATACGGTCAATGGATGTCATGTCTTCAGAAATATATAAACTATCAGATGTATAATGGTCAACAGTTTTACAAAAAGATAAATGGTTAAAATATTTTTTTGTGCCTCCATGTGTCTTTTTTAATGACTATTCCCTTTTGAAATTTGCAGACTGGTGTTGTTATTTTGAGTACTATCAATGCAAACAATGGATATCAAAAATCAAACTCGAAGAGAAATTAATGATAATCAACTATGCTTCAAATAAAATGTCCCATACTGGCCTGAGAGCCGGTAACAATTACACTTGAGAAAAAGCGTTTTCTTTTGAAAAATTGTTTTAAAAATAAAGATTTTATAATTTTAACCTAACGTCAGAAGAACTGGCTACTCATATCAATGAATGCCAAAATTGTCTACCAAAAATGATCAAGTATCTCGTTAGTATCTTATTTCTGTGAGAACTACTTATGACCATTTCACCAATTTGACTTTGAGTCAAACTTAATAAAACCTTATAAATAAATCGTGTATAATTATTTAATTTAAATCATTACACACGATATATTTACGAGGCTTTATCAATATGCATATGTTTTCTATGTATATCATAATCTCTTCAAAGCGTTTTGAGC